ACGCACCGCGTTCACTGAGGACTAATCTTTTAGGGTAAAGTCTTTAAGACTTACGAAGTTAACTGCATTGTTTTTTTAATACTTAAGAATTCTTTTACTGAGGCAGTAAATCGCACGGAAGGAGGAGCTTGGTCGTCCTTCGGCTGAGCAGCTGCGGGATTCAAATTGCAGACTGGTGGGATTTTGGAGCAGCCTTATCATGAGGCCACCAGAGTTCCTACAAAACGGGAGGGATTGTGTAACAAGGAAAGAATTTTCAAAGAGAAGAATGAACTGGAGGGGTGGCGGAGGGCAGGGAGAAAAGTGCAACAATGAATGAATGGAAATCCAAAATCTCTGTAAATTTTCATTAAAATTAATAATTAAAAAATGCATTGACTTTATTAATTTCTTTTTTTTGCACTGTTGCACATTTTCTCCCCATCCTCTTCTCCCAGTCCTCCCTGTAATGTACTCCTTGTTCCAGATTGTTCTCATAAATACAATGCTTAATTCCTTTCAGACAGACTATTCTTCCCCTCATCTGCTCTGATGCAGTGTTCATTATCTATCTGTTCTTTTCCCGTTCTCTCCTCAATTCCCCCAGGTCTGTCCTATTTTATAACAGCAATGTTGGGCAGTATTTATCCTTTTGTGACGGATATATTTCACTTAGCATAGTGACTTCCAGGCTACCTCATGTTGTGTAACGTTTTACGAGTTCATTGTTTTTTTAGTGTGGCATAATATTCTATTGTGTGGGTTGATGTGCACTTAGGTTGCTTCCATCCCTTTGCTATCGTGAAATAACAGCAATAAACATAGGTGTGCATGCATCAGTTTGAGTCATGGCCCTAGTTTCTCTCGGGTAGAATCCCAGTAGTGAAACTGCTGGGTCAAATGGTATTTATATTCCCAATTTTTTTTTTTAGAAAGTGCCAGCCTACTTTCCATAGTGGCGGTACCATTTTTCATTCTCACCAGTAGTGAATAAGAGTTCCAACTTCTCCACAACCTAGTCAGCATTTGTTGCTTGCTGGCCTGTTGAATTTTGCTATTGCTGCTGGAGTGAGATGATAATTTGATTTGCATCACTCTGATAGCTAAAAATTTTGAACATTTCTTCATGAGTTTGTTTGCCATATGACTGTCTTCTTTGGTGGAGTGTCTATTCATATCCTGTGCCCATTTTGTGATTGGGTTGTTTACCTTTTTCTTATTGAGATGCCCAAGTAGTCTATAAATCTAGATATAAATCCCTTATCAGATACATCATTGTCAAGTGATTTTTTTTTCCTCAGTCTGTGACTTTCCTTCTCACCTTGTTCCCAATTATGTGCCCTGGATCAGAAAGCTGGACAATGACTAGGGATGGTAGAAAAAGAATAGATGCCTTTGAGCTGTGGTGCTAGAGAAGAGTATTGAATATACCATGGACTGGTAGGAGAACAAGTTCCTTCTGGAGAGGGTGAAACCAGGCTGCTCCTTGGAGGCAAGGATTCTGAAGCTCCATCTGACATACTTTGGACATGCTGCAAGGAAAGACCAGTCCTTGGAGAGGGACAGCACACAAGTGGAAGACCTTTATGATATGGTTTGACTCAGTGACCAGAGTAATGGGGGGGTAGGTGTGTCAGAGACAATAAAGTTGTCACAGGATAGAGCAGGGTCCAGAGCTATTGTACATAGGGTCACTATGAGTTTCAGGTGACTTGATGGCACATAATAACCACCACTATAAAGATTTGATTCTTAGAAGGTCCCATTCATCTACTTTATTCTCTCTTGGTTGTAGGTTTTTCATTATAAAACATGTATGTAGAACCACATATAGTAATTGAAAAAAATTCTACCCTATTTTTTAGAACAAAGTGGATAGTGTTTTAAACACATTTATCCAGATTTTATGCATATACACACATTGGAGGGAGCTCTAGTGGGTAAGGAGTTCTACTGCAAACCTCAAAGGCAAACAGTTTGAATCCATTGGAACTCCACAGGAAAGAGACAGTCTCCTCCCATGTTATTTACAGCCTCTGAAGAAAACCAGCTGCAGGGTCAGCTGATTAGGTTTCAAACAGATAACAATGAGTGTGTGTGTGTGTGTGTGTGTGTGTCCAAAATCTGAGAAAAAGAAAAAGCATTTCGTTTCATAAACATTGTTAAAATGGAAAAAAACCCCACGAAACCTCAAACTTTCTACTGTTGAGTCAGTTCTAATTCAGAGAACCTTCCACCAGGTGTCCAAAGCCGTAAATCACAGTGGCAGAAAACTGCCCCCCTTTCTCCCCCAGAGCTGTTAGAGGATGTGAACCCACAAGGGATAGCAGCACTAAGGACTCTCCAGCGCTCCCTAGCTTTGTAAAGATTATGTTATATATTGCACAAAGATTATACTGTTGTTGTTGTTGTTATGTGCCGTCGAGTCGCTTGCGACTCATAGCGACCCTATGTACAACAGGCCTAAACCCTTCTCTATCCGTGTGCCTATCGCACTGCCTCTGACACACCCATCCCGATTACCCCAGTCACTGAATCAATCCACCTCATAGAGGGTCTTGCCCTCCTGCGCTGTCCCTCCACCCTCCCAAGCATGAAGTCCCTCTCCAAGGACCTGTCCCTCCTGGCAACATGTCCAAAGTATGTCAGACGAAGCCCCAGAATCCTTGCCTCCAACCCTCTCCGGGATGAATCTGTTTGTTTTCTTGGCAGTCCCTGGTACATATAATACTCTTCTCCAGCACCACAGCTCAAAGGCATCAATTCTCCTTCTATTTTCCCTAGTCATTGTCCAACTCTCTGATGCATAACAAGTGATTGCAAAGACCATGGCCTGTATCAGATGCACCTTAGTCTCCAGAGACACACTATTGCTCATCAGTACTTTAGAGAGGTCCCTAACCGCAGACTTTCACATTGCAATACATTTTTTTTATTTCCTGTCTGCTGGTGCCAAGTGTGTTGACCATGGAGCCAAGCAAACGGAAGCTGTGAACAATCTCAATCTCTTCGCCATCCATCCTGATGCTACCAATTGGTCCAGTGGTGAGAATCTTTGTCTTCTTGACATTGAGCCTCAGTCCATACTGAAGGCTGCAGTCCTTGACCCTCTGCCGTAAGTGCATGAGGTCCTCCTCAGCTTCAGCAAGCAAAGTTGTGTCATCTGCATAACGCAGATTGTTAATAGATCTTCCACCAATCCTGACACCACACTTCTCCTCATAGAGGCCAGCCTCTCGGATAATCTGCTCTGCATACATGTTGAAAAGGTATGGAGATAGGACACATCCCTGGCATACACCCTTCCCAATTCTGAACCATGCAGTATTACCCTGCTCTGTTCTGACGACTGCCTCTTGGTCCAAGGATAGGTTTTGTATTAGCACGATTAAATGTTCTGGGATTCCCATTCTTCTCAGTCAGCCACAGTTTGTTGGCACTAAATTATATTCAGATGAATTTCAGTGCTCTCGGGGTATTACAAGATTGAGAAAACCAAGTCATCAAATAGATGTGGTTGTGATTTTCAGGTGTCGTGGTGTCAAACACGACGCACAGTGTTCCTCTGAACAACAGCTCTGAGCTCTATCCTGTCCTGTGCCATCCTCACAATCTCTGACACCCGTGAGACCACTGCTGCAGCCAATGTGTCAATTCACAAACTGTGTCAATCCAAATAGAGGTTAGTGTAGCTATTAGGAGCGGGACCATTATGCTACTTCCAAGGACTTCCCAATATTTCTAGAGTCCAACCTAAGTAGGGAATCTTGCAGACAAAACCTCTTGACATTTAAACTTCTCTGCATCTCCAAAGAAGTGTTGTGTAACTCTTTCTGAAAGTCAGCATTCCCACAATCTCACACAGAACACATGCCATGTAAATGTGATGGCCTCTTTCATTGAGAGTCCATTCTCCGTGCATCGCTGCTCAATTGTCTCATCTCCTATTTTTGTAACATATGGAGAAGCCCCTCCCCTCTCAGTCCCCATCATGAAGAACAAACCATGGTGATCCTTGTCCCTTTTTTTTTTCGACATTTAATTCTGTAATTGACCATTTGCATTTGTCTCCCCCTAGTTGACTTTAAATAGGTTCCTTCAGTTGGAAAATGATTTTTTTTCCACCAGATATTCCACTGGAGAAGGAGGGTCAATCTCCTCCTATACCAGTCAGATTTGATTCGATGGTACATAGCAAGAAAAAAACCAACAAAACAACAACAAAAAGAAAATTATTTTTCATAATTTAAATTCCAATTGGAGAGTAATAAAATTGCAAGTCACTTTTTACAGAAGTGTTTAAAATGAAAAGAAGAACTACCTTTTCAAGATACCAGCACAGAGAATGAGACAGGTTAAGAATTTTACTAATCAAATTTTACTTTTTTAAAAAATAAAAGGTATTTGAGAACAGCTTCTTCTCAATTTCTTTCAAATCTGTTCTCAAAAACAATGCATTCAAATTTTGTAAATAAACTAGTATTTTTTTTAAAACTCAACTTGAACTTGGGGAGGGAGAAGGGAGGGAAAGGGGATAAAAAGTGCAACAATAAATGAATGAAAATCTAACTTTTCTGTAAACTTTTGTTAAAATCACAACTAAAAGGATTTTCTTTTTTTAAAAAAATAAAATATTTGATTCAGTGAATTGTTAGTACTTAAAGAGGCTACAGAATTCTGAGTCATTTCCACCTCCTAATTTCACTAAAGATGTGATTTTTCAAACATTGGAAAAGAGTCTTTTTCTGTATACTGGGTCACCATAACCTGAAGTTCTGAATCTGAGGGCTTGAATTCTTTGTGTGTCAGTAGGGGATGGACAAAGACCAAGAAAAAGAGTTTCATATCCCTAAACCAGCTCTGGAGGTGGCTGAGAAGAGGGTGCTTAGTAATTTAGCTGAGGAAATGACGAGAAGGAAATTGTTTTGTGTCTCAGGAACCATGTGGAATTCCAAGATAAGAAAAAAACAGTTGCTAATTTGAGTATAAAAGCAGGAAACATGATACACTTATTTCCTTTTATGCAAACACAAGTGTATGAGGGGTTGTGTGGAAATTCGTTTTCGCTGGCTGAACCACTGAGTCATAAACCCAAAGTGCTTCTTTTGGACACACTGGCTTTTCTACCTGTCTCTTTTTCTTGTTTTTCTTTATTATGGATACCATGGCCAATAATGCAACAAGTTTAGGGAGCCCATGGCCAGAAAACTTCTGGGGTAAGATATTTTCCTAAGCTTCTTTTACATTTAAAATTAAGATACAAGAGATATGTTCTATAATTTATCAGAACACTGAAAACCTCTGACATTTTTTGTTGCAGACTATTCACATTTTCATAGGCCTATTTTTAATAAAAGTCCTTTTTAAATAGAAATGTTTTTAAAGTGTTCTGTGAAAACATTTAAGTAAAATGAAGTTGCAAAGTATAATTAGAAAAAATAAAATAATTAAAAGGGAGAAGTAATTACTGTTCGGGTTATGATCGTGTGGATTTTGTTGAAAATAATGAAGTTTTATTTCTCTTAAAGTTTTAGGTTTCATTATTTTATTTAAGGAAACCAAGAATTCTAGTATAAATTATTTTAAATTGTCAATTAGGATACTTAAAAACTCTTACTTTCAGAGTGAATCTGAGGAATAAATTGGTATGCAAATGAATTAACTTAGTCATAAAGAGAAAAACTGGGATGTCATAGTTATAATGCCATAGTGTTGTGTACGACTCTTAGTAGCCTTATGAACAATAGATTTGAACTCTGTTCTTTCCTGGACCATCCTTAACATCCATCCTCGACACATTTGAATCCTTTGTCACAGATAGCGTATCTCACTGAAGGTTTTTCTCTCCTTTTCTGACCCTCTGCCTTTCAAAGGATGACGTCCCTTTTCAGCGTATAGCCTCTCCTAACCACTTGATGAAAATATGTGAGACCAAGTTTCTCTTGCTCTGCCTCCAAATAACATTCTGGCTGCATTTTCCCCAAGATGTATCTGTATGTTCTTTCTGCAGTCCTTGGATATTCGGTACTCTTCTCCACCACAACTCAAAGGCATTGATTCTTCTCCTGTCATCCTTATTCATTGTCCAGCTCTCACATGCATAGCAGGTGACAAGAGCACCTTAGTCTACAAACTGGCATCGTTGCTCTCCAGGACTTTGGAGAGATGCCTGAGAGCAGACTTTCTCGAAGCTATCCATACATCTCCCAATCTCCTGGCTGCTTGTACTAAGGGTGTTGACCATGGACCCAAGACAGTTTAAATATTTTCTCCATCTCTCGTCATGTTGCTTATTGGTGCAGTGCCAATGATGAAGACTTTTGTTTTCTTGATATTGAGATGTAATCCATATCAAAACTCCAGTCCTTAATCTTCTGCAGCAAACGCTTCAGGTCCTCAGAGGAAATGAAAATAGAAACAATTTCATGGGAATAACATCACATATAACATGACAAAGGGAGCCTATCACAGGAGGAAAGGGTAGCACTCAGTAGTGTTTTTGACTGACTGTTGACACAACAGGAGCTCACTGTGAAGCTCTCAGTGATGTTCCTAGCAAAAGAATAGTGCTGAGGTCCAAGTTATCAGACTCAAGGCTCACAGGCAAAAAGGGCTAAGGTGCAAAAATTGGCATTCAATGTTGGGTTCAAAGAGGTCTGGTGAGGCAAAGATTAAGCATGAAGCTGCAGCCAAAAGGCTGACAATTTCAGTGCATCCCATTAGGCTGTAAGAGAGAAATGCCTAACAATCTCTTTCTGTCAAAATCACAGCCTGGAAAGTCCCCTGGAGCACAGACGTAATCAATCACAGGGTCTTCATAAGCAAGAATTGGCTTGATATCACACAACAGAAACTCAAGTTCAGGGTTGTTTTAAAGCAAAAAGAGCAGTTTTGAGTTAATTATTACTTGAGCTATTATTAATTATTTGAGTTATTATTTCTATTTTTAATGCAATTCATTAAGAGCTCTGCTGTCCTATTTCTACATCTAGAATCAGTTTTAATTCCCTCCAACAACTATTTCCGTGTTTCTGCTGTGATTGCAAGTGTTTTTTTGGGGGGTCTGGTGAAAAGCTGTCCACTGTCACATGATGAAATTTAACTCTTTTTCGCCTGGCATTTATTTGCTCTAAGCCTGGGCAGTTAAAGATATTTGCAATCATCCTTATGTGACATCCTACCTTAACAAAGTAGAGAAGAGAATAAATTATGCTCCCATATTTGAAAGAATGATTTTGGGACTGAGTTATTCTAGGCAAATACTAACAGACAATTAAAGCTTTTCATTTGAGGACTCTAATTATATGCTTGTTATAATAGCATTTAAGGTCCTCATTTACAGGAAAGTGCATGTGCTAATTTTAAGCTGAGAAGTAAACAAAGTGTGTTTAAACTCATCAGTTTAAAAAGAAGCCATTACAATTACTATTAGAGAAAATATTTCAAAAATTAATCTGTAAAAGTCATAACTTTTTCAAACTATTAAAAGTTGAATTTTACATTTATTTGGGAGAAGGAAATTATACACTCAGTAAAATATGGACACTAATGATAACTATGAGCTTGACATTGACAGGCTACTTCCCTGAAATTTAGTTTTTGATCCACAAAAATGTAGCCTTTGCTTGTGGAAACCTGTGCTTGAGAAGGAATTCAAATTTATGTTCCAAAGTTGGAGCTAGTTTTCCTTTGTTTTAGTGTGAGAATATAACAGAAAGTAGATGGAAGTCATCAAAACCAGGAAGGGAGTGTTACACTGATAAACTCTGACAAAATCAGTGCAAGTATACTGAACAGATCTTACACTGTGACATGATTTGTGTAAAGTACCTCAAAGACTCCAATGCCCCTTTTAGGGTTAAACAAGATAAAGGATAAAAGCGTAAAAATATAAAAGTATTCTGAAACATAAATGCCAGTATGTTTCATTTTTACTTTCTATATATTCAATTTATGTCTGCTTTGATCACTGATTACGATAAGATTATTTTGCAATTTTTATATCATGCATTGCAATGCATTGCCTATTAGTTTCCAAAGCAGCCAGCCATCTACTCGGCATATCAAGTTCAGAGAGTAAAAATAAAGAGAAGATGAGCAAAGAAAAACTAGTGCATTGGCTCCAAACATTTTCCAGACTTTATACTTGTGTGTAAGCTATTTTCCAAATAGAACTTTTACCTGCGTTACTTGGGTGAATGCTAAGAATCAGATCAGATGATTATCAGTTAGGCTGGCATGTATTTTCCCGGTAATCCTGCACGAAAACTTTTTTAAAAATGTATTTATTAAATTTAATGAAAGTTTACAGAGACTTAGGGTTTCCGGTCATTCATTGTTGCCCTTTTCTCCCTGCCCATCCCCTCCCCCCCCAAATCACTCTTCTCCTTGAAAAGAAAACCTCTGTTGCTCATGCAGTGGGAGTGTTAATTAGCATGAGAGTTGGCCATGAATTTGATCTTAGAGAAGCACCACAGCTGAAGGTCCCTCTCTTGCCCTTAGTTTCTTTCTTTCTTTTTATAATGATCAAGCTATTTTACTAGGTTTTTTAAATTTTTATATTTTTATTTTAAGTCAAATTTACAGTTCATAATAGTTTTCATTCAATTATCCACACACTTTTAAAAATATCATTAAGTGCAATTGATTCATGTAATCAATTACAATGTCTAATCAGGCTGCTCCTTGGAGGCAAGGATTCTGAAGCTTTGTCTGACATACTTTGGACACGTTGCAAGGAGGGACCAGTCTTTGGAGAGGGACATCATGCTTGGGAGGGTGGAGGGACAGCGCAGGAGGGGAAGACCCTCGATGAGATGGATTGATTCAGTGACTGGGGTAATGGGGGTGGGTGTGCCAGAGACAATAAGATTGTCACAGGTTTAGGGCTGTTGTACATAGGGTCACTATTAATTGCAGGAGACTTGATGGCACATAGCAACGACAAATCAACTTCTCTGCTACAATCCCAAAGGCGTGTGGTTCGAATCCACCAGCTGCTTTGCAGGAGAAAGATGAGCAGTTTCCTCCCTTGGGATTAACTGCCTCTGAAAATGGGCAGAAGGGTCAGCTATGGGTCAGTGCTGACTCGATGGTACACAAAACAACAATCAACCTCTTACTGTATATTTCCTGTCACACAACTTTTCTATTTACTAATATTTACTGCCTTTTCCTTTCCTTCATACCCCTAGTAACCAGTCAAGAGTGAATGTGCACGAACCTTTGCTTAGCTTTTTATAGGGAGCTCTGGTTACCTAGTGGTAAGAAGCTGTGCTACAATTCCAGTGGCCTCTGGTTTGGATCCACCAGCTGCTTCATGGGAGAAGGATGGGCAGTCTCCTTCAGTGCTATTTACTGCCTCTTGCCGGGGGTCAGCAGTGAGTCGGTTCCAACACAAAAACAATGTACTATAATTGTCCTCTTGGGACCGATTTGAGTCATTCAGCATTATTTTGTCTAGACTGATCCATTTTGTGGGTGTTTTATGAATTGTTATTCTTTACTGTTACATACATAATACTCCACTGTGTGACACAGTTTCTTTATCCACTCTTCCACTGATGGATACTAGGGTTGCTTCCATCTTTTTGCTGTAGTGGATAACATTGCAGTCAACATGGATATAAATAAATCCACTTGTGTCACAACTCTTATTTCTTTAAGATATATATCTAAGTACCATGGCAGGATCAAATGGTATTTCCATTCCCATCTAAGGAGGCACTAAACTTCTTCCCATCATTGTTGCACTATTTCACATTTCCACCGGAAATGCAGGAGAATTCCAATCTCTCCACACCCTCACCAGTATTTGCTATCTACTGTTTTATTGACCTTTGCAGCTATTGCTGGGCTTAGATGATATCTCACTGTTGTTTTGATTTATTTTTCTCTAATGATCTTGAGCATCTCTTCCTGTGTTTGTTGGCCATCTGCATATCACCTTTGATCAAGTGTCTTTTCCTGTTCTTTGTCTATTTTATGATCAGTTTTCTCTTCATTGCCTTGTTGAGCTGGTGGAGTTTCTATAAATTTTAGAGACGATTCCTTTGGTAGACAAGTCATCATGAAATACTTTTCCCAATTTGTAGGTTCTCTTTTTGAAGAATTGTTAAAATTTTTTATTAGGTTTTTTTTATTTTAATGAGCATTTACAGATATTTTAGATTTCCATTCATCCATTGTTGCACTTTTCTCCCTGCCCACCCCTCCT